CTTTCCCCATTGTGTATTCTTCTTGCTTTTGTTAAAAATTACTTGACTTTATATGTGTGAGGTTACTCCTGGGTTCTCTTTTCTCTTCCATTGACCTATGTATCTCTTTTTATGCCAGTGTCATACTGTTTTGAATATCATAGTTTAGCTATATTGTTTGGAACCAGGAAGTGTGATGCATCCAGTTTTGTTCTTCCTGCTCAAGTTTGCTTGGGCTATTAAGGGACTTTTGTGAGTCCATATGAATTTTAGGATTTTTTTTATTTCTATAAAAAAATGTCAATGGAATTTTGATAGGGTTGCATTGAATCTTTAGATTGCTTTGGGTAGTATGTACATTTTAATGATATTAATTCTTCCAATCCATGAACATGGAATAACTTTTCATTTATTCATGTCTTCAATTTCTTTCAATAATGCTTTATAGTTTTCAGTGTGCAAATCTTTCACTTCCTTGGTTACATTTATTCCTAAAGATTTTTTTTTTTTTTTACATTATTATAAATGGTATTGTTTCATTACTACCTTTCAGAGCTTGTTGTTAGTGTTTAAAATTGCAACTAAGTTTTGTATGTTGATTTTGTAGCCTGCAACTTTATAGAACTTATGTATTAGGCCTAATAGTTTATTTTTATTTTTATTTTTAAATATATCTTTATTGATTTCAGAGAGAGGAAAGGAGAGGGAGAGAGAGAGATAGAAACATCAATGATGAGAGAGTCATTGATCAAGCCCGCAACCGGGCATGTGCCCTGACAGGGAATCAAACCCTGACCGCCTGGATCCTAGGTGGACGTTCAATGGCTGAGCCACGCCCGGCCGGGCCCTAATAGTTTATTGATAGAGGTTTTTGGGGCTTTATATATATACAAGATCATGTCATCTGCAGAGATAATTTCACTTCTTCCTTTTCCATTTGGATGCCATCTATTTATAAGTAGTTCAGAAATAAAAAAGGGAAGGAAGAAAACAGAATGAAGACAAGATGCTGCAGTTTAATTCCATGCTGCTATCAAAGTAGAAGGTTGACTCCCTCACTGAGTTGGAAAGAGATTTAGATTTGGTGTATGAATCCAACAGTTTAATCCCTCCTCTTAGCTCACCTACACTCTTTAAAACCATGTGAAGTGAAAATAAGCTCAGTTCCTCTCCTACCTGCTCTATATGGTTGGTATGAAAATCAAATAAGATAATGCATATAAAACAGCAATATAAGTCATGATGTACTTTGCTCATATGTATCAATGCTTCTTTTAATATGATCATCATCTGTTATGCTTTCAAACTTTATCCATTTCCTTTGTGCAGGATTTATAAAGCAGAAATGAAATAAAGGCTTAGTGACAATGTTCATTGACTTCTTTATCTCAGAGAATGGTTCATCTTCTCCTGGAATTAATTTCCAGGAATAAAGCCAAGTTAGTAATATTCTACAGACTAGGAAAAGGGCACTCAACTAGAGTTAAGAAAAGATGACCAGCCTGATTAGTAGGCATCTAGCTCCTTCTGTGTAAATGGGATTAAGAGCAGGGATCTGGCTCAGAAGCTACAAGGGAACTGATAGAGTTAGGGAAATCAGTCTTGGAAAGTCTGCTTTCATTTCTGTATTTTGATTTCTGGCAAGGTACAAACCATACGACATAATTTATGTCATTACTCTTAGGAATAATTCTCTTGGGATGTATGTTGGAAGGTTAAGTATTTATCATTAGGCTTCTAATCCATATTGTTTTAAATATTCTCATAGAACACAATCATTTTGTAAGGGTAAAGTCCATTCTTGCCTATGCTATTTTTCTATGAGTTAAGAGCTTTATCCCTATACATTTGATGGGAATAAAAGCATTTTGTGTGCCAAAGCACTGGGTAAAAGGATTGAAAAAGAGAATGGAGAAATCTTTTTCCAATAATCTGGTGTTAAATCATGCATCTGAATGGTTTATGATTTAGTTATGGAAATGATGAACTTCTAAGTGGATTGCGATGTGCCCTACACATCACTTTTTAAATTTTTTTTCTTCCTTGACACAAACGTAAAAGTCCCATTATAAGTGACGAGGCTTACTTAATGTTAGGATGAATGTGTTTTTAATTAAAATTGTTGATAAAGCCATTATACAAGGCAGAAATCCTAGGACCCTTTCTTCAACAAGATATTTTTGCCTTTGAATACTGTCCTCTGTCATTTTAGACATTCTAACAACCCAGGGACTGCTACAAAGTTGAGCAAAATGAGGTTGTCCTAAAAGACATGGAAAGGTGATTTCAGTCAGCCACCTCAAGACTGCTTTTCAGAAGGAAAAGAGTAATTTTTAAAAATTGAAATGATCATATTAATTATTACTTAATTCAATGGTGGATTTTATCTAGATGCCAACAATACTGATTTTTTTTTTTTTATATCTACCTTTTTTATAACTACTTCCCTTTCAAAATCAGGTATATAGTTTCCTGTGAAGGCTAAAGGTGAATTAATTCGCCCACAATTGTTTGACACAGAAACCTTACCTGAATGTTGTACTACATGAATTCAAGCAAAATATATCTGGTACTATCCCCCAGGGAAAATGCTCACCTGAGCAATTTCTAGAATACAGATGAACAAATGATCAAATCCCAAATGAACATGTGCGTTTTCATATTTATGCTTTTGTGTTCTTTTTCAAAATAGTCAAATGAACACTGTTTTAGTCTAATAGATTGAATGTCACAGTGCTGCAAGTTTTTTTGCTTAGATTTATCCCACAACTTAGCTTGACTGAAAAGACCCATACAAATCTCTATCTCAGCTCTCAGCAACTTTCTTTTCTATTTCATGTACCTTGGACACACACATATATACACAAACAATTTTTTAAATGCTGCAGTTTTACTTTATTTTTAAAAAAATTAAATGTGGCGAATATTTTTTATTGTTTTGGATACTTCCCTATAGTTTTAGCTTATTTGTGGATCAAGGGAGGAATTAATGGCATCGTTTTTCAGCCTAAATATATGGACTTTCTGTTCCAGCCAGAAATACTGTTTAATTTTAGCAAAAAGAGACATATGTTTTGGTGCATCATGATGGTTTATGTGACATGGTGCGTTGTATATGCCAAAGCTTGACTGTATCTGACATTTGGGTGCACAAAGACAGTTTCCTCCTCAAATAGCCATATGTCTTTTACTGTGTTCAGTAAATGAGAAATGGTGGAAATGAGGGTGAGGAGAAGCAAAGAGGGCTGGGTTACATTTGTGTGTTTGTATTTCTGAATTTAGTGAGATGCACACACATACCTGGCTGGGGAAGCGATGTGTAGGTGAATTTATTCCAGGCCAATTTGTTGGATTATTAAGGGAATCTAGTGACTCAATATAAATAACTTAGTAAACTGTGAGTTATTAGCTCCTTTTCATAGAAAGTTTTCCAGAACAAAATGGGGATGGGGGTGGAGAAAAATACTTTTCAAGTTACTGCAAATGCTTCATGTGATCCAATGGATGTTCCTAAAATGGATGCCCATCTGAATCACCTGACAAAATTCCTAGACCCCATGTCATTCCTACTGACTCAACTTTTATTAACGGGACCCATGTTTCTGTATTTCTGTTTCCCCCACTGGTTCTGAGGCTTTCAATTCAGCACTTCCCTGTTTACCAGGTTTGGGGAACAACTTTTTTTTTTCTTCAAATATATCTGTATTGATTTCAGAGAGAAGAAAGGAGAGGAAGAGAGAGAGAAACATCAATGATGAGTCATTGATCAGCTGCCTCCTGCATGCCCCCGACTGGGCAACAAGCCCAAAACCTGGGCATGTGCCCTGACCGGGAATCGAACTTCGATCTCCTGGATCCTAGGTGGATGCTCAACCACTGAGGCATTCCCCACAGGGTGGGAACAACTTCTTTACATGACTCTGGTCTCTTTCCACTCTACTGTTTTATAATCCTGATCCTGGGAAAAAGCTGGACAATTTATATAAAAGGTATAACTTGGCCTTGGCCCAGTTGGTTGGGTAACATCCTATGCACCAAAAAGTTGCGGGTTTGATTCCCCATCAGGGGATATGCCCAGGTTGTGGGCTCAATCCTCAGTAGAAGGCATGCTTTTCTCTCTCTTTCTCTCACTCTCCCTTCCTCTCTCTCTCAAAACTCAATTAAAAATCTTAAAAAAAATAAAAGGTATAATCTGTATTTCATTATTGACAATAAAACAAAGTAATTGTAAAAATACTGAAAACAATTTCAAAATCTCAGGGCATTCTTCTCTGACATCATTTTCAATGAATTAGACGCTGAGATAATAATATTCAAAGGAGAATAACAACCTTATAATTTATTACTTGAATAGACACTTTATGTCTTTGGGCACCATTTATATGGTCTCAGCTGTACAACTGACCTTGGAATCTCATTGTTCATCTACACATTTTCCTCCTTGCTTCCCATCACACTTTCTTCACCATCACAATCAGGAAAAAATATGTGCACCTTTAGCTGAGTCATCTTGTTTGGATTAGGCAGCTCCAGAAAATCCTCTTAGCTGGTTATCGCCATTCATGGACATCATTGCTACCTTGGACTGTGCTTCATTACTCTGCAATTACAGGGTTAGCCTTTGCGTTCTGTCAGAGCAAGCTACTGCAAACGCTTCCATAAAACCTATTAACTCCATTAATTTTTTACACCTTTTGAATGCAAGGAGATTTGGCTCCTAAGTTTCTTCCAAGATGCTCAATATGCCAATCCATTAGCAAATGACATCTGATGTGTGGCCTTGGTGTAGGTAGATTTTTTTTATTGGCTCTATCAGCTCTTCCAGATTGTCATGCCATTTCTTTCTTCCTGCTGGTTTTTGAGTATTTGCACAAAGATGAGATGCTATGAATCCTGGCTTATCTCCTAATTAAGCTGAATGTAACACTGTGTACATGAGGCTAATTCTCTGGCTTTATTTTAAATTGATCACTCTGTCCTCTCTACAGAAACCACATTTTCATCATGCCAATGGTTTGCCCAGAAAAATGGAAGCACAGGTGGTTCCAGTGGAATATTTGTACCTCAGGACTTACAGCTTTTGCCAAGGTGAAGTTCAATAAATTTGCCTCTTTATTAGTCAGATTAATACAATGTGTCATCTATTATTAGAAGAGGCAATGCTAACTAGCTGTCAAACCAGCAATCAGTAGAGCAATCATTTCAAATACACTATACTGCTGATTACTCAGGGGCCTCCTCATTGGTAAGATGAGGGATCTGACCATATCAATGGGTCTCAAATGCCAAGAGAGCAGAGCAGATCATCAGGAATATGTGTTATATTATGAAATCCTTAAATTCCTGTAAGTAAAAATCTGTAGGTGTGAAAAAAAACATGTAGGTATGGAGCTCAGTAACTTTATGAAACCTCTCAAAGAATTATAATACATCCAGTTCTGAAAAATAATGAAAGTAGATACTATCTAGGACCCCATAAAATAACAATCTGGGGATTTTATTGGATAAGAGAAAAATTACCTGAACAAGTCTCCCTCATTCCGTTTGATCTTCCCCTGCTAAACTGTAAAAGGAACATACAATTCAGAAAAAAATAAAATAAAAAGATGGGTGCTTAGACAGGGAAAGGCTTAGATCCTTGTACCATGTCATAAAAAATTTTGACAAACTTGACAAAACACTCAGAATATTGTTTCCTCTTAAACCTATGATCCTTTAATAAAAGTCCCTTTGAGAAACAAACACCATTTATCTCTATTCCTAAAATAACAAAGGACTGTATACATCTGGGTGATGAAGTGGGGGGGACTATAGTCTTTAGTTAAAGGAGACATGGAATGGGTGATTAGGGTAATAGTCTACTCTAAACCTAGGGAAAGTACTTTGTATGTTTTTTGAGTTTATTTCTTTAAGGTTTCCTATTACCATTAGATTGTTAACATGTTGAGAAAAAAGATAAGCAGAAAGAAGCCAAGAAGGGTATTTTCCTGTTGAAATATCCTAAGCAAAAAAATTTTGTTTAGGAAACATATGACCCAACCTCAGTGCTTAAGACACATATTTTAGTGCTCAAATCCTGGCTGTGAACAAAGTGAAAATTTCCTAAAACAATTCTCTGGGCCAAGTCCTGTTCTAAACACTTTGTATGTACAGGTGTTTGCATTTCTGAAAATCATCATGTTCTTCAAACTTGTGCACAAAAATAACAGAGTTCATAGGAAAAAAATAATTCAGATAGAGTAGATCACATAAAGTCTCTGCAAATTTGTAAAAAATATACTAACAGAAATTATAATGATCCAAATAAATACCTAAGAACAATTTTAAAGATATTTTAAATACCCAATATAGAAATAACAGTAAATATAGAATTTTATATTTAAATAAAGCTGAATGTAGATTAAGGAAAGAGGGTGAAGGAAAGTTTGAGTCTAACGATTTGTGAAAACAAGGGAATGATGTAGATTGCTGAAAATCAAGACAACCCATGACAAAGCACATGGCCAGATTGATTCAGGAGGAAAAACTGAGTGAATCTGTTTAATCCTGAGTTCTTATGCAGCTTTCTGGGCTGAGTTGCGTTAATGCACTTTTATAAAGCTTCTGTTCCATACTAACATAAAATATAAACAGAATGGGGAAAATCATGTATGACTAAACATAATGTCCTTACTTGCCAATCTCATATAAAAATGTGTGTGATATAAATGGGAACTTTAACAGACCATAACTTGATCAATCCTCATAACTACCAAGTATAATTGTTACCCGGAAACCCCGGTGGGGCTCGGGGCTGCCTGTCGCTGTGTCCAATTCAACAGAGGCAGGGTTGAATCATAGAAGGCTTTTATTGAGAAGGCGGCCAACCAAGAAGACAAGGAGCACGTGAGCATTCAAATCCTGTCTTAAGGAGTGGCCTGAGGGATAGGGTTATATAGGGAAATGAGGTAAACTGAGGCTGGGAACGGAGTGCAGTTATTGTGCAGCTCCGGAGGTCCGCAGGCGTCAGCTATTGTTCTTGGTCATCTGGTGATGTCTCGATAATACGATATCTTGCCTCCTGGTTGGGTTGGCCTGACCCTGCTGGTTCATGGATACATTGTCCATAGCTGTGTCGCCTCCTTAATTGCTTTGTCTGGAGTCGCCTCCTTAATTGCTTTGTCTGGAGTCCAGGGGAGTGTATAGACATAAAGGCCTAGGAGAAAGAAGCCTAAAGAAAAAGAAACTGAAATCCCTGCTCACATAAGTATATGTGTTCTACATTTTTATAAGTAATATAATTATATTTCAGATTAATTCAGGTGCTCAATCCTTGGACATTATAAGTGCCTCTATCATAATTACCCATATTTTACTGAGGAGAAAAGTTAGAAACTGAAGCTATAGTCTTCCTAAGAGAATTCAACAAGTGGAAGAGTTGACATTAGAAGCATGAATGTTCAGTTCTAGAATCCATGCCTTTAACCTTCACATTCTTCCTTCATCAAGGTAATGGGCAGCATGTTCAGGAAACTGTTCTAGGTCTAAGAACTCAGGATCTGTCTCTACCTCACTCAATAAGAGATAAAGATGCCCGGCAGGGTGTGGCTCAGTGGTTGAGCGTTGACCTAGGATCCAGGCGATCGGGGTTCGATTCCCGGTCAGGCCACATGCCCAGGTTGTGGGCTCAATCCATGACTCTCTCATCATTGATGTTTCTATCTCTCTCCCTCTCCTTTCCTTTCTCTGAAATCAATAAAGATATATTTTTAAAAAAAGAGATAAAGCTAAACAGAAGGAGCGTTTTGCAGATTTGAGTTCCCTGAGAAACATTCAGAATATGTTCAATGGTATTTTTCTGTGAAAAATGGAAAGCTGGCTTGAATTTTAGGTGAGAGTTAGGGGTTGGAATAAAGATGAAAGAATCATCTTTAAAGAGGCGACACCTGAAGCTGAGAGTGTGATTGCTCTCGTAGAAGAGCTTCAGGTGCAAGAAAACAAAGCCTAGGATAGAGCCATAAAAATATGTCAAGATAAAATTTCAAGCATATCTTAATATACAGCAATAGTAAAGTACACAGAAGGGAAATAATCATCCAGAATGTCAAGAAAGTTGAAAAAAGACAGTGTTACAAATATTTTTAAATATTTACAGTTTTTAAAATTAATCCAGAATCAGTCACTAGTCACATATTATGAAGGCAAAAGAATAAAGAATTTTAAGTGGGGGACAAGGTAGAATAGGGCATTGAAAGTATTAACTTATTAAATAGTTTCAGGGGGAAAAAAGGGTAAAAAGAGGTAATTGACTTTGGTAACTAAAAGGCTTAGGTGGGTATATCTACACAGTTTACATTCTCTTCTTTGGAATTTCCTGTTTCAATACATCCTATGAATATTAATATGTACAGGATGAGTCAACCCTTTGGCCATAGAAGGGTAGGCCTGGTGTAACGCCTGACCTGGGAAAATGCAATACAGTCAGAGCAAAGCCCACCCAATGCTCTTCCTAGCAAATTTAGATATGGAGCTCACAACAGTTTCAACAACTGGAGTATTAGATCTGAGAGCTAAGCTCCAAGATCATTAGAGGTAAATCCAGAATGGGCAATGCGGAGGCTTAAAATAATATGCAAGCTGAGAGTCCTCAAAAGGATGAAACCATGCAAAAACAAAAATGAAAACCAGAGTAAATACTCAGGAAAATTCTGTGTTTCAAAACACAGAGAGACAGTTGCCTGATGATTCTCCATTTCCCATGACAACTGGCTCTACCTCCTAAAGTTGTCTATGTAGAAATCTCTGTGACTTTGCAATACTACTTCAACTTAAAATAGTTCAAGTGGGCTTCTGTTACATTTCATAGATATTCTTTTGGTAAAGCTGATTCAGATATATGAGTATCTTGTGCTGCTCACAGATACTGAATCAAGGGTTATTACTCTCCTCCTCTTCTTATTAATCCTATAAAAATTCTCCTTCCCATCCCTTACTTTTCATCTTGCACAGAGTGTTTTCCCTTTTCCCAAAATAGTCTTCTTTCCACTGAACTCTGACCCTCTCAACTACTTGAGTATGACTCAATATTGATTTTCATCCAAAAGGCTTCTGTTAGCTATCTGTGTTCTTTTTATAAATACGCAAACTCAATATTGCATGTTGTCAACTATAGTCGCAAATGGCTCATTAACTCAACATCATCTGATTTTTACCTTGGCCTTTCTTCTTTTGTATATGTTAAAAGAATGAACTCATCTACTTTATTTAGATAAATGCATCCTTTCTATGCATTTTACATTATATTTCCGCAAAAGGCCGCCAAGGAACATTTAAATACAAGTGAAAAGTTAAATATGTGGCTGCCTCATATTTTTTCTCAAGGTATTATATGTCAAGAGTGGATTGTCTGTCTCCGAATGGCCATTCCAGTGGCCTCCTTACCAAAGGGCAACAGAAGTTCCCTAAGTGACATTCCTCATTCTGAAAAGCTTGCTTCTTTCTCCCTGACTATTCAGATACAGATGGGCTCACCTACAACCTATGAATATGCAAAATATTCTGATTGAGATTAGTAGTGTCATAGTCTTATAATTTCACAGTTTCTCCTCACATTTTCCACCTGATGTCATTTCTTCGGCTTTGAGATTGTTTAGCTTTTGATTTTATCTCCTAGTATCTTACTACTGGGCTGTGTCTTACCACTTTCAGAGCCTTCTCATTAGTCTTCCCTTGAGAGTCCTTACATTCTCATGATTTGGTGCTCTGCTTCTGGTAATAGACACCTCTCCTCCAGTTTTAATCCGGGGACCTGTGCAGACCCACTTGGTCTTCCTAGTTTCTCCAATAAGAGAGGAGCAGTAGACAGAGGACAGCTTTCCTACAATAAAGACATAGCTTCTTCTCTCTTGACCTCTTCTCCCTCAGCTATTTCTGTTTCTCTGCAGGCATCAAGAGCATGTGACTGCTAAAAGCACAGAAAAATGGTTCTTTCAAGCAGCAGAGCTCATGCCACATTAACCATGGTCATGTACTAAACTTCGCTTGAAAGCAAATACACAATGTTAGCTACTTTTATCCAAACTGACCCCTCTAGGCCCAAATGTTGAAAG